CGACCTGTTTTTCCATTTGAAGTCCACCTCCTCTTTGGGGTCGTTGGCTGCCATGAGTGGTTTCGTTGGAAGGCGACGGAGATCTTCACAAGAAGCAGAACGACTACTACACGATCCTGGAGACCGAGGAGGGCGACTTCGAGTGGGCGCAGCGGATGAGCGCTTCAATGCACTGCTCGAGGAAGCGAGGGCCAGCTCAACGCCACCGAGCGCCGCAGCTGTTCGACGGATTGCGGCCGCTCCTGCATCCACGGCTAAGGGGGCGCCGATGATCGACCGCAGAGAACGGCCGACAGGGGAGAGGTCATCTCCAAGCAGGGACAGCTGACGGGCGGCAGCACACAGTGAGACAGTCACTGCAAGTTCTGCGCAAAACATTTGGCCGTGGAGCGCAAGTGAACCTTTTGGTGCGCTACCACCTGGTCTACTTGGCCGAGGGCATGGCACCACATGTGGAAGCGGTGAACACTTCACCCCAGTACCCTGTTCCACCTATGATAGGATCAGGAGGAAACCCTGGGTTGCAGCCTCAAGTACTGGATCCATATGTGATCGCAACAACTCCTCAACCCCTACCTCATAGAGAGAGGAACCCGTTTTGGAGCGCGCTGAACCACAGGGATCTCAAGGAGGTCTATCTGCTGGAGATGCAAAGAACCAAGGCGAAGCCCTACGGCTCCTGAGATTGAGGCGGTGCACGAGAAGGTACTGCGCGAGGCCCAGGAGAACTTTGAGAAGGAACTGAAGAAACTTGGTGGTGGGACAAGGTGCCAAGGGTCAATACGCAGGGAGGGCGAGGTGGTCGAGAATGTTGGGTCAGAGGCTACTATCTCTCAATCTCCGGGAATCCCTCTACAACCAGGTCACGCACGGGGGGTGGACACTGCTCATGTTGAAGGTGGACGAACGGTCACCAAAATTGGCCAGGGAACTCCATCGTCTTCTATGACAGAGGCTTTGAGGAATTTGGATCTTCCCGCTCTTCCAGGTGCAAATGTGGAGGGATCATCGAGCTTGTTTGGTGACTGGCTCACAATGGCATTCCCATTGATGGCGGACATCTCCAACTCAGCTAAGGCATGGTGGGAAGGGTCACTAATGGTGGCACGGGGGCGCTACTCAAGATGGTTGACGATGAGTCCACTGGAGCGACTTCGCGCTAAGCCGGAAGTGGCGGTGGATCCTGCCCTTCAGCGCATTGGGCAGAGGGCAGAGGCTACGCTGTTGGGAGCGCTGCCGGATCAACTTTGCCGGGACCTGGTGTCGGGAAGGCATTTGACAGTGGTGAACATCCTCTACAAGCTGCACGTCACTTACCAACCTGGTGGGGGAGCTGAGAAAACACAACTGCTGAAGAATTTGGTGGAGACCAAGTTTTCTACCCAAACTTCGGAGCTGCTCACCCAAGTACGATTGTGGAGGAGGTGGCAGAGCAGGGCGCAGGAACTTCATCTGGCACTACCTGATCCAATCGTGCTGATGGTCCATTCAAAATTTGCTTTGTACTCCGGCGCGCAATTGTTGAAATTTGTCGCAAAGGCAGAAGCTTCATTGGAGGACATGCTGCCATCCAAAATTACAATCACATCGTCGCGAAAACCTCCATAGAAAGGCGCTCTCTCAAGAAACGGCCGGAGAACGGAACTTCTTTCAATGAGAAGAGCTGCTGTCAAATCACAAGCTTCAGAGGCAAAAGCCAAACCTTGTCCAACACGTTTGCACCTGTGCGGTTTACCATTGATGGTGACAAATTGATTCTGCAGCACAATGTACGCTAAATCAGCAACTGCTATAGCATCATCAAAACCGGCTTCAGTCAAAGCAGCGCAGCGCAAACACAGGTTGCAACCATTTCAGGAGTAGTACTCGGATAAAAATCCAATGTCTCCAGAACCCAAAATGGAATCAGTAGGTAAATGAAGCGCTTCAAGTCGGAAGACAAGGTCAGCAGAGTTGCGAATCACAAAAGGGAGTCTAGCAACAAGTTCAGAAAGACGGATGCGCGCATATTGTGCCACGGGTGTCAAAATGCTCGAACTTGTGGGCGTGATGACCCTTGGCACTTAAGTTTTCTTGTGACTCTTCCACGTGAGGATAATTTCCATCAACTTCCAGCTTGCACCACTTTGTTGGAACAAACCCTCTCTGGTTTTCTGTGTAAAGCAACGCGCACACAAACGGTCAATGATCTCATGTAATCGCCGGCTCAAAGAAACTCGGTCACATTCACCTTGTTCAAATTTCTCATGCGCATTACTAATGTCATTCTCCAGCTGCGTCAAAAAAGAAATCTTCACAGGAATCAAAGCGGTTCTCTTGTCATCTTTGAAGACAGTGAAGTCGTTCTTTTTGAGCCAATGTAGGGCCAAGCGATCAAGGCAAGACAAGTTTGAGGTTGGTCTATGTCGCGCCCAACATCGACGAAAACGATCCCAGGTGCATTGTTCAAGAGTACTGAACAAAGAGGCCACCAATTCCGGGGTAGGTGGCCACCATTCGGATGGACATCTAATTTTGTGCATCTGCAGTTGTAGAGGGGTCAGACTTGGAGTAGAGCCCTGACCAGAAAAATAAGCAGCGCAGAAAAACTTCCGTTTGAATTCACGAAGTGCTTGCGCAAAAACTGCGGCATCAGGCCATTTGGCATGCCGAGGGATGAACTTGGGCCGCTTGCCCAAGAAAAACTTCACACAATCTGGAAGTCCATGAGGAGGACAAGCAATTTGGCTGACGTGGTCTAGTTGGAGAGCGCCATGAGGTGAAATATGCTAGGGTCGAGCTCAAAGGTTCACGTGCAAGGGTTCTCAACGTCTGCTGCGCAAAATGCAACAGCAAGTCATGTGGATGATCAACAAAATGTTGAAGGTTGCCACGCGCATGCCTTCGGATCTTGCTCCGCTTTCTCATTGCCAATCTCTCCTTCCTGGCGATTTGTTTCGCCATCCTTGCATCAAGTGGCTTCGTTGATTTCCAGAAAGGTTCCGACGACGCCTTCGAGGGGTCAAATTCTTGGACCTCGACCTCCACGTTGACGCGGATTTCCCGACATTTCCTTTCTGATGTGTCTTGCCCTTGCCATGCTTGCCCTTCCCTTTCATGGCTCCCTCTTTGGGAGACGGGTTGCGTATAAAACCCTTATTACCTTTACTCTTACCTTTTCCTTTGCCTTTGGGAAAGGGAGATTGAGAAAGGATCTATTGTTCGATCTAATGGATCTGTTGGAAGGGCCCCTAGAGTAGTTACCAAACCCTTTCCCTTTACCGTTGCTGGTATTCCTAGGGGGTTGAGAAGAAGATAAAATGTTTGCCATGGGATTGCGCAAAGCGACGGGGGGCATCACAAAATTGAGCAAAGCCAGATTCGGACAGACTATGTCGCATTGCAGCGCTTCCTTTGCCACATCCTTTCAGCATATCGGAAATCTTGGACTCAATCATGATGTCAAGCTGGAGCTCTTTGGGGAGTTGAGCAAATTCCATCTTGGCTCTGGCAATCGCTTCCTCGCGTTTTCTTGCAGCTTCAGTTTGTTTTGTTCTTGCCAGTGCTTTTCCAAAAAGAAGATGCTCATGACTCACATCCACAAACTTTTTTGCTTCACCAATCACTTTGCAAGTCCATCTCCACAAGTTCCTTGAAAGTAGAATCGATACAGTCTACAACTCGTTGGCTGTAAGCTGTCAACGATGCTTCGGTTCGTAGATGCTCAAGCTCAGCAGATTTTGCCCGCATCGTGAGTTCAATTCTCATATCCACATCTTTATCTGTCAGTTCATTTGCAAGTTCAGCGAAAGTTTTGCCTCGATTGTCAAGATCAGCTGGGGCCTGTTGCCCCGCAATTTTGTCCGAAATTCTCATCTTGGCTAAGAATTTCGAAATTCGCTTTGTGTTTTTCCAGTCTTCATGCTGTTAACCCATGGATTCCAGCTGATCACCGGCTGCCCATAGGTGGTTCAAATGTCATCTATGGCCATCATGAAACTCAAACAAAGTCCGCTGAAAGACTTTGTTCAAAGACTTAAAGTTAAAGTCAAAGGTAGAATCATCCTGGTGGTCATCAAGCGCAGGAAGTTCTTCATCTAGCTCACTACCATGAATCGCATGACGCTCCTCAATCCATTTATGGACAGGTGCATCTCGTCGTGCTTGTCTCCACATCGTGATAGCTCCCGTGTGTGAGGCTAGAAGCCAAGCAACAAAGCAGATTGAGACACGGAGCGTGGACTTGTAGAAAACAAGCACAAGTCAGTCCAGTTTTGACCTCTGCGAACAAAAGGTCGAAAAGAGCTTTGTGGTGGGAGTACTTGCCACACTCCCACGTAACCTTGTTTGGCTAAGCGTCTTCCCACAAAGCCAAATGCATTGCGGTTCAGCCTCCTCCGGGCGAGAAGACGGAGGACTCTGACGGACGGAAGTTTTGAGGTAATGGCTACGCCATGAAAAAACCAGTGTGGGGAAAAGATAAGCATTTGGCGAAAGTGTTATCTTTGCTTTTCTTTGGAAGACACGCACAAACGAGAAGTGTTTGGCTAGCTGTGAACAACCAGCACGCTTTGCTTCGTGGCTCAAGGAAAGGTCCGCACTTTTTAGGTTGAAGGAAACTCAGATTTATTGTGTTGATATTTACATGGCTAACAAGGTGTGCTTTCTCTGGCTGTTGCTTACTGGATTTGATGGATCGGAGTGTACAGTGATCTCCGTTTGACTTTATTCCCTTTTTCTGCAGGGCAACCTACAGGCACAACGTTGCTCAGGGAACGCTCCGAGGATGTGGAGCTTACGCTGTGGTCTTGCAGCGCCCTACGAGGTGGCCTAGATGGGCCCGTTTACCTTCCTCGTCGTAAATTCTGTCAATTTTCCAAACCCCCATTCTTACTTTCAGTCCGTGACCAAAAAACAATCAATAAACGTGGCAACAACCCCGTAAAGACTTGTTACGAGAGCTGACAGTATTCATTCACGCGCTGTTTCGGTTGTAGTTTGCCGCTTCGGGTAACTGTTGCCTGAGCATGTCTACCAAGCACATGGATCACGCTTGGTGCAGCCAAGCAATGACAATTTGCATCTGCATTCCACTGTCCGGTTGCCCCATTCCAAACGTGCCATTTCCTTGGATGTGGCTGACAGTCCAACTAGTTAAGTTTCCCTAGAAATCTAGGAACCAAATCATTAGTGCGAGCGCTTCTTCAAGGAAACGTGAGCTATCATGCGTCCTGAGTAGTAGCTACTTGTAGGTACTAGCAACCTCTAGCTTCTACTAGCTACCTCTACTAGCGGCCTACCCCATCCTTAATTTAAAGAAAGAAAACAAAAACTGTCTAGAACATCCTCAAAACAATGTTTGAAAACATCTTGTCAAGCCGCAAAAATGCGAAGCCCGGATGAGGTGTGTCTTGAGCTTCAGCAAAGGCAATGCAATTATTGCCCTTGTGTTCAGTGCCAGCCACCAACCATTTGCGACCCTCTGAGTGGTAGCGGATTAACATATCTCCATTAGCATAGTAAGGAGACCCGTCACTGAGACCTCAAGGAGGTACGCTTGCTGTAAGTCACAAGCAAAAAATGCGGATCAATTCAGGAATGCATCTCACCAAAATAGAAGATCAGAAATGACACTCGATGTCCCGCCTGCGAAATGATACTCACCACTGATGTCTGACCTTCGACTAATGAACGTCACATCCGGCGCATCGATGGCCTGAGCAAATGTGCAAACGCTTTCCTCAAAACCCAAAAAGCAAAACGAAACCAAATAGACAAGGACTATCAAATGTTCACAAACTTCCTAACTTCCAAGGAGCTATCAGATTGGCATCAGCCAGGAAGTCTTGAGCGCTTTCGCTCCAAATGAACCAAGGACCAAAGGTTGAAGCAGTCGGGGCCAGTGCACCATTGTCTTTGGCCCAGGCAACCGCCATCTCAGAGTCCTGGACCTGAGCACCACGAAGCGACTGAAATTCCTAGTAGCTTCTTGTTACTACTAGTAAGGCACCTGTTACTACTAGCGTGGCACTTGTTCCTAGTAGCTTCTTGTTACTAGGCGCCTAGGTAGAGGTAGCTAGTAGAAGCTAGAGGTAGCTAGTACCTAGTAGCTACTAGTATGGACACAGGATAGTTCACGCTTCTTCAAGTAAACTTCCCCTTGCCGCCGCCCTAAAGGGGAGCTTCTTTGAAGAAGCGCAGACACTAATGATTTGGTTCCTAGATTTCTAGGGAAACTGAACTCCCATACTAGGAACCTAGGAGCAAGGACGCTACTAGGAACCTATAGTAAAATTTGTTTCAAGACGCAAGAGACTGAAGTCTTAGCCCCCCACACCCTGCCGATCGATGACCCAGCAACCCCGTCTGAACATCAAGGCAGTGTGAGACCCAACTTGGAGATAGGTGGCATGGCCCTGATCAGGATTCGAAAGAAACAGTGAAAAACGTGTTTCTTTTACTTTTTATTTTACTTGAGTAAGTAGAATGCTGGCAACTGGACGCAGGATGGCTCAAGCTTCTTCAAGGAAGCTCCCCGCGCCTGAGGGTGGGGGGGGCTTCCTGAACAAGCGTGAGCACTATTCATTTGGTTCCTAGATTCTTTGGATAACGTAACTTGAATGCGCGTGGGACATGAACATGACATCGTTCACGCTACCGCTCTTCACGGACGTCATGTCTCCCACCTCATTCCAGCCGCTGTGCACATAGTAGCCGCAAATGTCGGAGTTCTCCAAACCTCCTGCCCGGCCCAGAAGCCGCAAAGAGGCTGGAACAGCCATACCTTGCAAGACGTCCCAAAAAGAACCGAAATGAGAAAGGCTAGAAAAGGTGGTGAAAAATAATTGAAAAGAAAAAGAAAACCAAATAAATACAAAAAGAAAATTAAAAAACATGTCTTTCGAAAGAGAAATGCTCGGAGTGCGAACTGCGGTGCCGTCTGTCATCCCGAAATGGCCACGGCCGGTGGTCTGAGCCGAATCTAGACAGTCTCAAACGGAAGTGACGAAAGTGAACGCAAGGTGAGACGACAAAGTGATAGAGAAAGTGCAGCATGCAAAAGCCGAAAGCTGTTTTTCTTCGGGTGAAACGACGACCTTCGCAACGCCTAAGCTGTGGAACAACCAGTTCGCAGCTCTGACGGCAAACGGTGCCACCTGACGCCCTGGCGCGGCCTGGCGCGGCTCAGTCGCTCCGAGCCAACAGCTTCAGTTTCCCAACAGCTTCAGGTCCTGCTTTCGCGTGCCAAATGCCATCTGCGCATGTGCGATGTACATCTCCTTTTTGCGTAGTAACAAGGGCATCGCTACTAGGAACAAGAAGCTACGTTCGGGGCTCCTGGCATCGCTACTAGGAGCATCCTTACTAGTAAACAAGAAGCTATTAGAGTTAATTACAACTTTTGAAACTGAGAGAAGTAAACAGTAAACAGAGACCGGTTCACGGTTCACCATGGTTCACCGTCTGTCCTCCGCTGAGAGGGTCCGCTCCCCTGCAAAGTTGGACCAGTCTGTGTTGTCCATGAAGACATTCAGGAGGACATAGCTACCACCCAACTGGAAAGCCAAAGCAAAGTGTCAACTTCGCAAAATTGCAAAGAATCCGACCTTTTTCTCTAGAAGCAAGGACGCTACTAGGAACAAGTGCATCGCTTCTAGTAACAAGTGCCTTACTAGTAGTAACAAGGACGCTACTAGGAGCAAAGGGCATCGCTACTAACAAAGGGCATGCCTACTAGGAGCAAGGACGCTACGAACGGGGCTCCTGGCATCGCTACTAGGAGCAAGGGGCATCGCTACTAGTAGCGTCCTTGTTCCTAGTAGCGATGCCCTTTGCTCCTAGTGGCAAGAAGCTACTAGTAGTACTGGATTTGTGCGGCGCACGAGAAACGTCACAGCTCCAGAAATGATGGCCACCCATTTCTTCCGCTCCTCCTGAAAACAGGACGAGGGGCTACAGTGTGGCTACAGTTCGAGAAACTCTGAAAACACCAGACACTTGGTCCTCAGCCGTCAAGCCGCCTCCAGCCTATCAGACAAGAGAATTGTGGCCGCCCTGACGTGCCCTGACGTGCCTTCATGTCCGCTTCCCACCTCGGTTTGACATGCGATGCCAGGAGCCCCTAGTAGCGTCCTTCCTCCTAGTAGCGATGCCAGGAGCCCTAGTAGTAGCTTCTTGTTACTAGTAAGGCCAGGAGCTACTAGTAGCGTCCTTGCTCCTAGTCCGCTTCCCGGTTGCTATGGCCCGCGCTGATTCACCTCATCATCTAAGGGTTCCAAGGCCAAGAACTGCCGAGCTCTCTTCATGCCCTGCCGAGCGCTTTCCGTCCGACGCTCCCTACGCTCGACGCTCCCTACGCTGCCTCGCCCGAGCTGCCGGGTTTCACTTCTTCAAAGTCTGCTGTCGAACGAGCAGAATTCGACTTCTCAGACTTAGCGCCCTGCGAACGGTGGAACGGCCGGGTAGCTAGTAAAAGAGGTAACTCATAACCAGGTAGCTATTACCTACAAGTAGCTATATACCTACTATAGACACGGATAGCTCACGCACCAGTGATTTGGTTATGAGGTCGGTTCCTTTCTTCTTTCAATTTTCATGTTATTTTTTTGTCACTTCAAAACAATTGCGTGTCCCACCTTGGCCTGTGTTTCTGCAGCTCGCGCAACCCTATCAAAGCATCGTCCAAAACGTGTTGTTCGAAAGTCGTGCAAAACACGGTTACCGCAGCAAGAGTTTCTGTCGACAAAATGTACGGCACATAGCTTGAATTACATGGCTTGGATGCCAGAACCTTGGAGATCGAGTTGGCACAAAGTTTGGCCTGAACAAAGGACATAAACCATATTCAAACACGGAACCCTCGCAAATCTACGGGTCATATGAAGTCATATGGTGTTTGTGTCACGTGTTGTGATCTTTGATCATTTTTGGTCTTTGCTCGTGTTCTGTAACCTCGCCTCCAGGAAAGAAAGACTGCAAAGACCTCAGAGGGCTGCCAAACGCGTATGTACGCGCACTCAATGCTCAGGTTGCTCTTGAAATTTAAGCGCCAAGCAAATAAATGAACACACACCTCAATTTGCGAACAAAAAGGTCGTAGGTCACTATGGTCACACTTTCCAAACACAGATGTTCAACCCTTTTCATGTCTGATGTGTCCAGTCCACTTGTGCCAAGCTGCTCTTGGTCGCACACTTTGGGCCATATTTGGTCCTGGTTTGGACAGAACGCATCGAAGTGTGCAAGATCGAAAAGACATGCTCTTTTCAATCTAATCCCATTTCAAAGTAGAACCGCCAGAGCAACAACGATTTTACTTCTTGAATATGTTCCAGTTAACCCCCTTTGACAAAGCTTGACACGTCCTGTGGCTCACTGCCGCCAAAACGAACCAGACCGCTCTGAGCATCACATTTCGGGAGTGATTTGGGCGCTACAGATCACAATGCCGTCAGGTCAAATCACTGTGGTCAAAAGAATTCTTGCATCAAACGCACTCAGCGAGACGAACTGCCCTGTCCCTTCCGACCAACTGGAGGGTAGACCACCGTGGTCTGGCCGACTGCAAAGGCGGTTGCATTGCTTTGTACCGAGTTATGCAAGGAAGGGCTTGGTATTTGCTCGACCCCAAAAAGTTATTTTTGCAACCTCAAGCTCGAAGAGCGCGTCCAATCCTATTTTTTCAACCCCAAAGCGATTTTTGAGTTGAATTTTTTGAGCCTCAAAAAGTTGTTTTTGAGCTACAAGTTTGAACCCCAGTTTCGACCTAAAAAATAGCTTTTATGAAATTGGTCCCGCCAACGGCGTTTTCACGTCGCGTATGCGCGGGCAGCTCAAGGGCCCTGTAAAACCAAATGGCAGCAGAATGTACCATGGACAGAACTCGGCTGCACACAAGATACCAACAACAGGGAAGATTCGCACTCAACCTGTTCTTCGAGTCTGTCCGGGGGCTATGTACGCAATCTGCCATCTAAACAGGAATTTCTACAAGTAGTACTGTAGTGCGTTCTGCGTAGTGAAACTTCCCCACTTCGGCAAATCTATGCTACATCGTTCTGTTTTTTTCCACGAGTGCGGACGCCATGTGGGCGGTGTGCCCAGGTCATCATGAGAAGGGTAGAAACTCTGCATATTGGTAAGGGGAGAAGAACAAGAAAGCAACAGACAAACAACCAAACCACAAACACCCCAAAAAACCACCACAGCCAAAGGCCCCAAAGACCAATGTGGGCAGAGTTTCCGCTGTACTGAGGTGAGACATGTGAAAAATGATAAACTCAAACTACCTAAGGGCCTGAATTCACTACGAAAGCATATCTGTATCTGGACAAAGGCGGTTGTCCACGCAGGCCAATCAAAGGTGGCCCTCTGTTGAGGCAAGGGTAATGTCATCCTTGCCAGTCTCAGTCGTAGGCACATCAGCTTTCTTCGAAGATTCACAAGGTGGCTGGTGCAACAGTTGCAGCAGAAGGATGACGATAGCCAAATGTCATCAGTTGCAATGCTTTGCTGGCCTTGGAAAACAACCTCTCAGCTACGCTACATCGTTCTGCTCGTCGTTTCTCCTTGTTCTTGTCAGTTTGGTAGACGCACGATCGAAGGACCAAAAGCAATAGGTCTGGTTTCATGCTCTTTGTCACAAACAATCACTCAACATTGTGTGAGTGCTGATCCAATCCAGACGATCTCCTCCGTTCGGGAAAATATTCGAGGTCCTCTGAGGTCCCTGCCACAAGTTCTCATGAATTGCGGCCAACTCAATCCCGAGTCGCTTATCTGGCGACTGTCTCTGCGTCGAGGTGGTCGCAAAGCGAACGGCAATCCGAAAATTGCAAGCGCGGGACACAGGATGATCTCATAATGGATTCCCACCTTGCAGCTGTACAAACAACCCTTCGTCTCAGCGATAAGGGCACGGATTTTGTCTCCGCTCTCTATACCGGATTGCAACGAATATGTCTCGGCTTGGAGTGTCGAACGACACACTCTCTTGATGGTCGTGGACGAAAAGCCTGATGGCAGCACATGGTAAACGCACACATTACGACCCAATATGGGAGGGATGACAAAAGAACACGAAATTTACCATAGTTTTCCGTGACTGCAGTGAAGTCCTCCACTCAAAGGAGGTTTTTGAAGGGTGTCCATATCGTGATATCCCACAAGCAGTCCAAGTCCCCGTGAACCCGGCCGGAATCGTTCCTGCGGGTGCGTTCACGGCAGTGCTTGCGTCATGTCAATGTAGAAGCAGGCATCAGAGCAGTTGGAGCGGAGGCATGGCAGTGTTGCCGACATCTTCGAGTGGTCAGGATGCCCAGTTCGGTGGCGCGAATCGCGGACAATACCTTCCGAGGGTGGGTAGGGGGATGGGGTCCCCGATACCTAGCCCTCAAGAGGGAGCGTGGACCCGCGAGGGTCCCATGGTCGTTGAGGGAAGATTCTAAGGTGTTGGTCCGTGGATCTCTTCGACCGGGAACCATGAATGGACATGGTTACGTCACATTCCCTAGCCGGCCAGTTGACGCTGTCCTTGGTGGCTTGGACGTGTCAACTGGCGCTGCGTGGTCGACGGGCCACAGCGCCATCCACTCCTTGGGACACGGGCCCTGGTGGTTGTTCCTCTTTTTTTTGCACGAGTCGAGGCGCTGTGTGTGCAGGTTATGCACAAATCACCTTAAGCTAGTAAGAGGGGGAGAAATGAACCGGCCAAAGAACGAAACCGAAGCAACCAAACAACCCCCCCAACCCAACAAACAGCAAAAACCGCCAAAACCCCACCAAAACAAGGCACGGTTCATATCTCAGGATGGCCGAGTCAGCCAGAAAAGCGGTGAAACGGAATACGGCCTGGGGCAATGAATTCTTGCCTGACGCTCAGTACATCATCTTCAGGTTCTTGTACTTCATTTGCCTTCATTTGCCTCGACGAAGCTTGACAGCCCTTTGATTGTCAATACAATTTTCGCTTCAAATGTGAGGGCTGATGCACACTCGGAAGTCAGCTGAATCAAAACTGTCTACCATAAAGGGCATCCACGCAGCATCATTCCAGCATCACACCGCAATCTCGTGCTCACGTTCCAGAAGATTGAGGCCTCTACGGGACATTCCGACTCTAGGAAAACAGCTGGATGAGCGATCGAAAACTACAAATTGTCGAAGGACGGATCCAGCGGAGCCATGTAGTAGAGAAAGCGGCGGGACTAGTGAGCACGACGAAGACAGGCTCGATACCCCAGGCCCCCCCCCAATAGGGAGGGGGAGCACCAGGGGTGCAGCGGTGACTTCAAAAAACAGCTTTGCCAAAAGAAGTCACAGAATGGCAGGTTGTCTCAACAGCTCACCGGGAGCAAATTTGGGCAATCAAGGTGCAATCATGACGAGGTTGAACTTTCATCGGCGCTTTGGTAGCGCGCCTCCTGATGCATTGATGCGTCTTCTTGTGCAATTTTGGAACACACAGGCCCCCTGTACTACGTGAAACAAAGGTGAAACTCCGTCATCCTATGTTCTGTGCGCTGTACAGGCTGTACAAGCTGTACTCATCCAGGACTACCACTCGGGCGGTAGCCTCATCACTGTCTAGCCGCTCAGTGTTCTTGTACACCCCCAGGTGGCTGGCGCTTGTTTGATCAGGACCAGCACATGGGTGCGAGCCTGAGCTCCTGGCATGGCTTAGCAAAGCTACTGTCGGTCCTTGCGCATTTCCTCATAGAAATCATCAGCCCACTTATCGCAACCGCCTTTGGTATTTGGCGGAAGGAAGCGAATCCACTTTGGTGTGTCTAATTGTCCACATTTGTCAAAGGCGTTTGCCTGAGCATATGTCCCCCTCCAAGTCATGCTTTTTCCGGTTTTGTGGAATGTGCGGAGTTGCGTGCAGCCTGCAAAGGCACGTCGAGCAATATACAACAAGGTTGGTGGGAGGAGCACCTCTCGCAGCGATGTGCACTTGAGAAAGGCTTCTTGTTCTATCCTTCGCAACTTGTTGGATAGGCTGAGCTGCTGCAGATGTAAACAGTGTGCAAAGGTGGACCCCAATATCTCACTTACTTCGGACTGAGAGAGATCAACTAGCTGTAGCTGCTGACATCGCTCGCAGGCTGCAGGTCCAATCCACGTGAAATCTGGAGCGAGACAATCCCAGCTTCCAAAAAACAGCATTCGGGCAAGCACCTCGTCGGGCTAGTGGGGTCATACTCCGTTTGTTCGAAGTTGAGGTATCGCAGTGCGGTGCACTTTTCAAAAGCCCGTGGCCGAAGCTGCGCTTGCGGGGCTAGCTGGTTGGTGGAGTCACTGGCGGTCCCTATTTCTATCAAGAAGCAGCATGCTTCGAAAACCCTAATCCCGAACTGCTTGCACCCTGGAGCAAGAACGGTTCGGAGTGCATAACTTCGGCAAAAAACTCCATTCTGCAGGCAGACTACTGTGCTCGGGAGGTGAACCGCCTGAAGTCGCAGACAACTCCGCCAAGCGGCCTCGCCAATGATGCGAATACCTGCTTCCACCTGCACGTGCCTGACTTCCATATTGTGCGAAAATGCGTGTGGCAGAATTCTGTCAATGGTGTTGCGTGGGCTTTGACCTTGCTCTTTAGCTGCCCTTTGTGTTCCGTCGCAACAAAGCAGTGACGGACAATCACGTTGAAGCAATTGTTATCTCGCAGAGTGTCCCAAATTGGGTCAGCTAGCACTTTGCGGGTATCTTTATGGACAAAGTCAAGCTCACAACCAAAGGTGCTGCTCTCTCCAATGTAGGGGAGTTGTTCCAGCACTGCATTTTCAAATTCATTGAGCCTATCAAACTCCTGCAATTCTATTGTCAACTGGATTTCTTCTCCAGCAAAGGTGATGAGGATGAGTTGCAGCACTAATGATCTTTCTTCGCTCACTAGGGAGCTGCAAAGGGACATGTTGTCTTCAAACATTGTATGAATTCCCCGTCCAAATCAGTCTATCATAGGCTTGAGCCTGAAAGCACAGCCTGCAGTGTGAAAATAGTAACCAACAGACAGAAACATGGAGCTCTGACATCCGGACTTAGGGACGGCTACATGGGCAGCCGCCCTAATGCATTCCTACCGCCTGAGGCACTATACTCATGTGTGATGGCTGGGAGGGACCATCCAATCACTCCCATTCGGGGGTAGATAATGTAGCCACCATGGTATGCTTAGTGCGTAGCAAGCTTCAAAGGCGTTGT